AACAAAAAAAACAACAAAGGGAAAGTCCTTTCTTAATTGCTTTTAATTATTCATGAACATATGCAGAGCAGGTCTGTGGAAAGTGCCAAAGAATTTAGCAAACATAACAAATAAAGTATAATAATAAAATATTTTTTGCATCAGCTTCTTCAGGGATTTTTGCTGTAGTGAAGCTCTAATATCTCTGAAAAATACAGCTACAATATATGTTAGTGAGGTATCAGGCTTTTTTAAACAAGAAAAAAGAAAAAGCTGAAAAGCTTTTGTGCTTTGTTGACCTCCATGTCATGGGCACACACTGAAGACATGCAAACCCAGTTATCGACTTAGGATGCTCTGAAAGTAATGCCTCCTATTTCTTTCCATGGAGACTACAACAGGTGCAAAGGCCACAACAACACTATAATTGATAGAGCAAATTCTCAGCTACAAAACACTGCTTTTCTACATAGGCACCACCATTAGCATTTTTTGCTAGCTATGAACAAGAACCTGTTTATTGTTCTTGCAAAATTCTGCATGGCCATCCAGAATGTGGCTTGTCTTTCATGCTGCTGTTACCACTGCTGAAATGCATCACCCACTGCTTCACTGTGCTCATATGCAACTGCTTGGTCTCCATAAATGTTAGGCAAGCATCTGTGAATGTCAATGGGCGCCATTTTTTCTGCAAGGAGAAATTCAGTAGCACACCTTTACTTCACACGCACTTCCATATCAGGTGGCATTGTGTCAGACTGCCCCTCTGCTGTCATCTGCCACATGGCAACAAAATGTAACAGAATACTGATGGGAAGATACAGCCTCTACTGCCATACCACCAACATCCACCTCTGATGTGGAGGGCCAACATAATAATAGAGGAGGCATTACTTTCAGAGCAGCCCTCGTATTTAACCACTTACATAAAAACTATGTTTGAGCACTTTTCCGTGAGTGTTAACCTTCTAGCATTGACTTCAGTATAAATACCAGCAAGCAGTGTGCTTGAGCTTTGCCCTTAGGTTTCTGTGTTATCACTGATGAGTTGTAATTGTTGAGGTCTGAAAGGTGACTTTCAGACACAACAGGTTTCTCATTCTTCTATCTTAGGCCATTACCTGTTCAGATCTCTTTGCAGTGAATTCTGAATTTTAAAGCTCTTTAACATTTTTAAAGGGAACATGTTTGCCCTTAACATGATTTAGTGCAACCATGTCACTCTACAAAATCAAGCAGCAGAGTAAGGAGAAAAACAAACACCACAAAAGCCACAATACAAAACACCACAATAATACACATAGGTCATTCAGAGGACAGCTTGCAAATATGTACCAAGGCACAGCTGTCCATGATGTGCTACATGTCTCTATCTCAGGGTGACTGGCACACAGGCAGTTAGAGGATGTGACTTCTGCCTATTATTTTTATCTGCCTACTGTTATTATATGCAGCTATTTACCCCATAGCTTATTGGTAAGATGATGAACACAATAGGTTTTGAAGTTCTAAGTGATTTCATCATAAAAAGACAATGTATTTGGATAAAATAGGCGTTGGAAATGTTTAAGTACATCTTAGTGTTATTCCTCACTATTTTCACGGTGGGAATTGTGTTGGTCTGCAAAAATAGGAGGGAGTGTTTTGTCTTCACGTCTTATGTGAGAGGTTTTATTCACAGAGGAAAATGGAAAGAAAGAGGAACTTATAACCAGGCAGTCCTCCTGTCGTGAGGTGTATGGGAATGGCAGTGTACTGTATGGGTGCAGAGTCTTGGGTCTGAATAACACTCTAAAGATTTTTGCTACCCAAATAATCAATGATGGCAAGAGATTTTCTCGCCAACGCTGTAATTTCTGCTTATACACCAATGGGTCTGAAAAACAAATTTCCAAAACTCCTAAAGCAAATAGGTGTCAAACAGTGGGACTATCGACGATGCTTTGACTGTAGTTGCTTACTTGAGGAAGCCCATGGCTCAGAGATGGCACAGTAATGCAAGGTTTGAAGCTTAGGATACAAAGGAAGATTCTACAAGGAACAGCAAAAAGAAAGAAAAAGTAAACCTCCATCTTGGGGCTGTTAGTCATTGATGCAAGAGAAACAAAAATAGAAGTTAATGATCTGAGATTTCTATATTGCATGATTCAAATGTAAGTCCTACTTATAAAAAAAAAATCAACGTTTGTCAAGCAGCTAGAAATGTTACCTGGATAATCATTCAAGTACACTAAGATATTTGAACTCTCCCTGTCCTCTGCCCCTGCTGATGCTCTTTGCCTTGGTTTGAACATCACTCAACTAAAGTGGTTGCTTTATTTGGCATATTCTCTGAATTACTGCGTCACGTGTGACTGTCTGTGCATGCACCCCCACCAGCTGTACAGGAGGGGGAGGGATACAAACAAAAGAAAGAAACCACAGCCTTTGCTGCTGGTTTTCTCTGGGCATCCTATGATGCTCCTGGAAACTGCTGGCTGGCCTCTGATGGTGGTGTTGGGCCTCTGGCAGTGCTCCAAGCATAGGATTTGCTGGAGCAGCCCTCTGAGAGAAATGGGTGCTGAGAGTGATAGGTGCTGAGGTGGCTTTCTCCGACCTTGGACTGACAGAGATCAGATCCTGGAGGCAATGTAGTTGTATTCTCCAAGCCCCTTCATTGAATCAGCCCATTCACTGGTAAGGCAGGAGCTGGGGAAGAACGAGTGCAGGAACCCCACATGAGCAGCATGAACACAGAGGAGACAACACAGGTCTGAGGGACAGCTGTGACACTTCCTCCCAGATGAACTGGGAATGACTGAGAGCACAGTAGGAGGATAGGGAGTGCAAGTGAGAGTCTCTCAATGAAGTTGAGAGTTTTGATAGGTTGAGTAGAAGAAGTAGAAGTGTTCAATCAAGAGAGCTTTTCTGAAGAGGGTGCTTTCAGACTGAAATGCTTAAAAATATGTCTTTCCCAGAATGGGGCTCTTTTAAAGTACAAATTTCTGAGAAAATGTGTGGTCTTCACATCTAAATTTGCCAAATATTGATTTCTCCTTTTGGTAAAGGCTCAGCAACAGAAACTGCTATACTAAAAATTGAATTTCTGCTAGACCCAAACCATTGGTAAAGACAAATAAATGTCAAACAGTTAACAGAGGCTGAGCTGTTAAATTAAAAAGATCTACTTGGTAATTCAGAGCTGTGCATGAGAGCTGCTTCCAGAATAGTTATCCAGAAAACACATCTTCTGAAAAAGCAAAGAAGCACCCAACATGAAAGTGGAGATACATACCTATTCTCATCAAAACCCCAAAAGAAGAATCATCACTAGATTCAATATTATTTACTACTACTAGGCAACCTTCAGCTCATGTTAGAAAACCCGCTTTTACCACACGTCTTCTTACATGTGAAAATACATATATTTCCTCTGACAGCCCCACTACAGTTTGTACATTGAACGTTTTAAGATATTCATTTTCTGATAAGGAGAATCCTTCAAACAAAAAGCAGAAAGGAAAGGAAAAAAAGAAAACAAAAGGAAACTCCACCCAAAATGTACCCTAAGTTCAGAAAAACACAAGGCCATGATTATTAAATATAGGTGTTCTGGTTTCAGCTGGGACAGAGTTGATATTCTTCACAGCATGTGGTGTGATGCAAAGTTTAGGGTTAAGGGGAAAAACAATGTTGATAACACACCAATGTTTTAGTTGTTGCTGAGCAGTGCTATACAGAACCAAGAACATTCTAGTTTCTCAGTCTTTATGCTGTCTTGCCAGTTAGAGGTCTGGGAGGCACAGGGAGGTTAGAGAGGAAAGAACCAGGAAAGCTGACCTAAACTGAACAAAGGGATATTCCATATCATCTGATATCATGTGGTAAAAACTATGAAAATGAGGGGAGTTGGTCAGGGAGGGCAGCCACTGCTTGGAGACTGGCTAGTCGGTGGGTGGTGAGCTATTGCATTGTGCATCATTTGTTTTGTAAACATATATACATATATATAATTATCATTACTATTATTTCTCTTTCTCTTTTCTGTCTTAGTAAATAGTTTTTATCTCAACCCACAAGTTCTACTTTTTTTCCCTGATTTTCTCCCCAATTCTGCTGGGAGGAGAGGGAGTGATCAATAGGCTGCATGGTGTTTAGCCACCTGCTGGATTAAACCACACCAATAAGTCAATCCAGGCATAACCAGTCAGTAACACTAGGTAGAAAAGTGGAAATTAGAAGAAGAGAGAGAAAGAGTCTTAGGTGGATTAGTTGTAAAAAATGCCAGTGAAACTTGAACTCATTACCTCAGGGAGGAAAGTAAAGAACTGAGGTAACCCTTTATGGGTTAACAGGGTTAGAAAAAAAGAAGAAAAGCAAATTATATTAATGGTGGAGAACTACACAAGACTTATGTTGGAAAGAGAAAGAATTGCAGAACTCTTAAGTAATCCAGGGTCTTTACTTGTTTCCAGTCCAGTTTTAAGACTCAAAAGGGGTCAGAAACATGATTTATTCAAGGCTTTTGAGAAATGTTGTTACCACAGTTTCAGCAGTTCTTACTTAACATCCAAAATAGCTGTAAACCAATGGCTAAATCAGAAATGCCTGGAAAATAAAGGCTTATGGTGCCTGATAGCTTGTATCTATGCAGTCAGTTGTGCCTGGAACAGAAATACTGTGCAAACAAAATAAAATAATAACACATCTTCCATTCCTTGTGGTCATCAAAAATGTGCTGCTCTGATGCAAAGACGAAGTTTGGGCTTCTTGGCCAATCAGAAAGTATCTGTGGTGTGACACTGTCATACAACTGCCCAGATATTAGAACATGAGAAGTTGGTTACTCACCATCAACAGACATTTTGGGGGACAGCAGGCAATGGCTAAAGCTTTTGCAGGTGGTTTTGATAGGCAAACACCTGGAGGAACCAATAGGAACCAACAGGTCAAACTGATGCCCTGCTATCAGCTGTGATAGCAGGATGGTTTTAGCTAGCTTTAATAAGGCCATCCAGACATACTTTGAAAGGCAGGGAAATGCATCATAGGTCTTATGGTAGTAGCTGCTGATATATGCTTCTAAACAACTTCCTTGACCTCAAATTGGAGTATGCAAGCTTTTATTTTGCCAGGTACGTGGGTGTATATAGGATTTAATTTGCACTCTTTTTACAAAACAAGGCCATTAAGTCTTATTAGAAGTTGTTACTGTGACCTTCAGTACCCATTTCGTTAATACATTTTTGTTTGCTTTCCAGCCTACCCTGCAATTTTGACTGGCCTACGGGAGGGCTCTGCTGGTACCTTGCAAACGGTGAGCTCATACAGCAACTGCAAGTTACTTAGCTGCTGTCCATGACTCACATCCCTGCTTCTGAGCAACTCCTGTCCCTATAGCAGTATTCTGCTTCTGTGAACACAAATGGGAGCTAGCTGAGGGATTCTCCATCACGTGGTAATGTCTGACCTTGCATTAGCCCCAGGGAAGGCTCTAGGATGGGATGGAGAGGCTGTGAGTGGTCAGTGGTTTTGCAGGGGGCTGCAGGTCTCTCAAGAGACACAATGGAAATTTTAGAGCTTTAGCTTCATGTTCAGTTATTTACTTTTAGGTTAGGAAGTAGCTATTTACTCAAGGTATATGTGACTTTTTGAAACAAAAATGAAACAATGGAAATCATGGTATTTATCCAAGGGAATAATATTGCATGGGGAAGGAAAGGTAAGGAATCAGGAGCACAGTAGCTAGTCAGCTTCTGATGAATAAGCAAGACAGAGAACACAAATCATTTGTGGGTGGTCCTTTCCTTGGGCTTGAATTAAACATGGTTTACAGCCAGCTAGTCAGAAAATGCCACTGTTTTTTCCTAAAAAGCAACAATTCATCTTTTGCAATATCTGTCACATTAGAACGTGAAAACTCCTATGTCACAAAATTTATGTTTTATTTTAAGTTTCAAGTAAAAACTTACGACAGTTTAATAGCTATGTTCCAACTGTAGAAAGTTTCCAAGGAAATGTTCTCATTGCCACTTTGGATTGCAGACAATGGGAAGAAATTGGCAGGCTCAGACAGGTAAATAGCAAACACCTTGGACCACGTTAACAGTTCTTGTTGATTATGAAAAATGAGAAATCTAAACAAAATCTGCTGGGGAAAGAATTAAAACTCATATTCTTTGCACTTCTCAGTTTTTTTTTCCTTACGCTATGATTCTTCACCTCTGTGAAAGGTTGCAGCGAAAGGTGAATGGAATAGCCTTTCTGATGCATGCATATAGACTCCTGAAGAAGAAAAAGACTGTGCAAGAAAGATTTAGGTTAGACACTGGGAAACCCTTCTTCATAGTGAGAGCCTGAAAGCTCCGGGAGAGATTGAGCAGATCATTTGCCACCATGACTGGGGCTGCGAGGAATAACATGAACATCACCAATTCTGGCTTTGGACAAGCAGGTGTATTTTTGGTTGTCACTACCAACTGCATTTTCTAGTAAAACTTGGCAGTGTTTCATCTCTGACTCTGAGATGAGCTTCAGCATCATAGAAATGAGGACTGATCAAGAGATTCCCCCAGAACATTCATTTTGGGCAACAGTTCCTTTGAGTTCTTGCCATGAAGTTCAAGTGGATGCAGCGCTACTCTGACTCAGGGCTGAAGCTTTGGGCTGTTCCCAAGTTGCCTACAGTGTCTATGAGAAAGTGATGGTCTTGCCAGGTGTAATGTATCATGCTACAAGCACAACACAGCTGAAGTAATCAAATATCAATGGAGTGACTAGATCCAAGTTTGAGGATCCTTACTTAGAGCTGAACACTTACTTACATGTATACTTTGGAGGCTTTCTTTTATCATCTGCTTCATAACAGCAAAACCTAAATAGAAAGTCTGTTGTACTGTGCTGGCTGTACTTAGCACAAAACATATTTCTAGCCCTTTAGACTGACTAGCAAGCTGCTCTTGTTATGATGCTTTGCTTTCAATTGCCTACATCCAGGTTGAAGCTTTTGATCTGCGGACATCCCAAATTAAGAAATTTCTCCTCAAAAAGAGTGTCTGTGGACAGGCAGATCCTTGTATTGTCCATATCCATGCCTTTTCAGACAAGGCATGCTCAGGCAGTTCTGCAGAACCACTGTAATTTTCCTGGTGACTTATTTTCAATTTTGGTGTTGGACACTGCAAGCACTTGTTTGCACTGCCCTGCTGAGCAGAGCAAGGGTGCTGCTATCATGGGACCAGATGATAGGAAACCTTTCAAGAGCATTTGTTCCTCACCTCCAAATAAACGTTCACTCATTTCATTCTGTTTTCTACACTCTATTGTTAGGTTTAAATTTATTTTGGATGGCAGATTTATATTTCTTCATAGTAAACATCTATAAAAATATTATGAACAACAAGAAATTAACAGAAGAAAAAAAGGAGAAAGCAATTATGCTATGAGTTCAATGACTGTTTACCAAGACAGAGTTTCAGTTGGGTAGTTCCAGTCTTCATACGGAATGACTGACTTGTGCTGCCTGCAATATATCAAACTTGCTTTCAGCTAAAAGTGTATACCACTGTCTTTGATTGTGAGTGCAAAGGTCTTTGTGCTGCATGAGTAATACTCGGAATGTCTTTGTTTAGAGGAAAAAAGCAATTCCTCTTAGTATCATAAGCTGCTAAGTAAATGTAATTAGGAATATCCAGGCAGTATGAAGATCCCACCCTGCTAGTACGCATCAATTCATCCAGCCTTGATTTTGGAATCTCTCCAGTCCTTCCCCTTTACTGCTTAAGGAGAAAGTAAAGAGAGTATAAGAACAGATATATATATATTTTTTTTAATTTTTATTTTTTTTGAGCAATTGCCATACAACCAGAACTGCTGCATCTACAGCGTGCAATTTCTTGTGATTTCCAGAAACCTCTTATATATGATGCACTCTAGGAAGGTATCTGATTTTGTTTATTCAGTGCATCAGTGTACCAGGCAGCTTTTTTCATGGAATTTGTCTCCTTGTACAGCTAACAAAGGTAGGAGTTGCATGGTAATCAGGCAGCGTCTCATTCTTGGCCCTGCACTGTGCCCATTACTACTAGTAGTGTTTCTCCATATGGTGTTTGTCCCTGAGGTATTGAATTGAAGGATGTGGAAGCCCACTGTTCAGCCTAGCGCCAAGTAGTGATGAGGGTGTCCCTTGATTTTCCTTTGGTTATGTCTCCAATGAGAAATATGGCAGGAGAAGAAACACAATAACTAAAGAGGAAGGAAGTGCTTCCTTGCCAAGCAGGATGGTAAATTTGTAGGAGAGGCTCTGTCTGCTGTGGATATCAGCAGTGGAAGACGAGTGAGAAATGCTGGAGGCTAACAATTGGCTTTTACTGCCCTGCAGCCCAACATGAGCTGCATAGTGAGAAAGGTGTTTCCCAAGCCAAGCACTGTGTGGTACATGGACCAAGAAAAACCTGACAGAGCAGCCTGAAGGTAAAAAGCTCATGAATAGATCAGTGACATAACCACAGAAATAATTAACAGAAAAAGCATTGGTTGCTAAACCACTCCTGCCAGTGGGAGCATGTAGATATCCATCTGGGTTACCACTTTGGATAGCATCTCAGCCAAGAAACTTTCAGCCATATGAGCTTGCTTTTCAGTAACAGCATTTAGCAACATTTTGATTTATAGTTTAAAGTGCAATGAAAGGGATTTGTAGCTTTGCTTTATGTGTTTGTTTGTTTTTTCTTCTCCAGAAATATCTGTTGAACAAAAAGACTCACAAGACAGTGAAGGTTTCTATCATCAGATCTGTGCTTGATGTTACAAGGCACCCACCAGCCACATATGATGTTTTCGTGTGTATGCCTGTTTTTCCTTCCTTGGGAATGAATATATATATATATGGAGTATTTCATCAGAATAAATATTTGTTTCCTTTGGTGAGTCTTTCATAGATAAGACACATCTGAAATGTTAAGAACACTAAACACATATATACTTTGTTATTTGAAATGCAGAATAAATGGTAACTGTATGGAAGTATTGTACACGTCACACAGCTTGAACTTTTTTTCTGGCAGATTTCTTAGCTCAAGTCTCAAAATGAGCCAAGAAACCTGCCAAAAACACCTAAGTAAACTCAACTAGCTAAGAAGAAACTTCTACACAAACAAAAGATGCTTGCTATTGTTCAGAAGTATCTTGCTGCAATTCCCATATCCAAAAGTACCCTCACTTAGCTACACAGCACTGGTGATCTGTTCTAACTGTGCATTTCTCAGTGAGTAATCGTGCAGTGTGGCTGGCAAAAAGCGCAGACTGGCTTCCTTTAGCACCCTCTTGTGCATGCCTCATATTCAGGTGTAAATGCACAGTTAAACCTTTTTTTTTTTTCTTCTAATGTGTATGCTCTTTGCACATTAACAATATAATTGAACTGCTGGACTCTGAGCAGCCTTTATTGGTGCACCAGGTAAGCTGGTAACTGCTTGCACCTGTATTCACTTTTGGCTGTGGATACACCAATCAGTACGTTTTTTAGCAAAGACTGTATTGAAAACCAAAGCTCAGTCCCCTCAAAATATGGCTTCAGAGGGATGAAAGATAAATGATCATTTTTCTCCCAAATGACTCATTTCACACAATTTGCAGTTTAGTAGAAATGTCCTCAAATGAGAAAGCCATCAATTAAAGAAGTCTACATTCTTGCCTGTAGGCTACACTAAGATAGCTCCACTCTGTACAAAAATGTTAATGTGTTTAGATGTGACAGAAAGGAGGGAAATTACAATAATTGGCAATGTTCTGTGATGGTGCCATATTAATGCACAGTGTGACATAAATCCCAAACCAAACTTTCAGCCTTTTTTCTTTTAAACAAAGCCTCACTTCTTTTAAGTACTACTGTTCACCCTCCCCACCCCCCAAAGAAAATACATCTAATGAAGACTTATCCCAAGCATTTACCACGATGGTTTCAGAAAGGTAGAACAAATTAGAAAACAAAATAACTTGGGTTATCTTAGGGGTGCATCTATAATTTTTAAAGCTATTAGAGAAATGATTTTGCAATAGTAAGGTACCCTTCTGTTTGCATTGCATAGTAAGGTATCCTTTTCTGCTGCTATGACTTCAGAGCAAATACAATGAAGAGATAGTCTGGTGATGTAATCCACCATAGCTAAACCCAGACATAACTAAACCTTAGCCTTTGTTATTCCTGACACTTTAGCTGGCATTTGAATATAGCTCTTTCAGCACTGAGCTGGTAATTAAAAACAACATCTCTACTAATGGTTCAACATTCTGTTTAAGGAAACAACCAACATCCTCAACACTTCAACCAAATTGAGGAACTGATAAAATGTTTCTTAATTTGTGTAAATATGACAGATCTATGCTCTGCCTCCACAAGTTCATCTTATTTTCAGCTTATTGCAGGTAAGTGAACTGTTTTCCTTACCCCTGAAGGGAAGTCCTTTTGAGATGGCTTTCCTTGGGTAGTTGGCTTTGCTCTGTCCAGGATACAGCTGTGTTTCAGTGGTGGGTCATGTGAGAATGTTAGAGAAGTGCTGTTGATAAACGGCAAGGAAAGAAGTGCATTTTTCTCCATAAGCCTCCTCTTACTTGGGATGTAAACGCTACTTGGGAAGGACAATATCTCTGCTGTCTTTGGCTGACTGGTGAACAGCCCTTGGATTGTAAGAAACCAAACTATTTCTCTCCACTTCTTTGAGGACTCAGTGAGCCCTTTTCAATGCAGTGCCTTCACATTTCCTGCCAGAGTTGTGGCTGCCAGGATGGCTTGCGGATGGAGCCATGCAGGTGCCACCACCAGCAAGTCATATATGCTATTTCAACCTGCATGCTGATAAGACACATCTGTTTGTATGGGGTAAAACCAGGTAGATCACTGTTTCTCTTCAGGTGAGGTACATACTGGAGGTTCCAGGAGCTTCAGACCCTTTAGCCCCAAAACCTTCCCTAGGATTTGCATAGCCCTGTTACTTCAGCTGCTGCTTGTTTCTCTCCAGACCACCTGCATCGGAAGATTACTTGGAAATTAAGCGTGATGCACTCTCTCTCACCTTT